ATAAAGATAGAGCACAAGTAATTTACTATGTCATTCTATGTAAGTAATTCTCATAAGAAGTCAAATTTCAGATACTCTGTGAAAGAATTTTTTTCAGGCTTGACAGTGTTATTATTTTAGAATTTAAATGACATATTGAGATACATTCAATGCTGAATACTGTGGATCAAAGGCAAGAGTTCAATGGAAGAAGAATTCAGTGGTTATAAAAACGTTAACAGAAAATCAAGTCCAGCTGTCGATACTTTTCAATAGAGATTTACATCAAGCCACTTTAAACTCCTCTCATAATTCTTCAAGCATTCTGTTATAAATCAGATCAAAATGTATTCCTAGTCAAGTCTCCTTTTTCTTACAGCATTTGATGTGTGTCTGTTGGATGAATTTCAAAAATTTTCTTACATGAAGCACTCCACAACTCTGAGACTACAAAGTAGAACAACACAAAATACACAAAACTTCTCAAATTCCTACTCTGGTGGCTCATCTCTTTAGCCACGAATTTATGGTTTTGGTAGAACAGGAAACATTTTGTTGGAAAGCAGCATTAAGATGAGAATGAAGTCAATCAGTTGCCAGATCACTTTTCATGACCTTCACCAGACTAAAAGTTAATCTGTATAAACTCATTTGGATTCTGGAGTACTGAAAACCACACTGTGGGGTTTATGTAATTTCCCTAACTGATTTAGGGAGAAGGCTCTGATTAGAGACTGTGAAATCTAAGAGAATGTTTGATAGTTTTGACATAGTAGTTTCTGCAACCAGCATTCCTGGAACAGACTGGCTTTGTGTGAGGATTTCTAAATGGAATCAGGGAGAGAATCTGCAGAAAACAAGTGAAAACTGTTTGGTTATTAGGTAAAAATATACTCTGTGGGGAAAAGCTCCAAACCCATCGAACTGGCTCACTACAAATAATGAAGTCCAGCTTAATATACTTCCATGGACAGAGATGGGTTGGAGGAATGATACCAGCTGATGTTTCTAGCACAACTCCAGAGCTAAGGTACACATTCACAGCAGATTTGCATCTGTCATATACCAAAGAAAAAGTGAACGAGGATTTTGTGTACTTATCTGATGTATCTTATAGTACAGTTTGAGAAGGAGCATATTTTTAAATAAAAGGGAATTGGTTTATTTTTCTGTAAAGAAGAGTCTCCCTTTCTATCCATATCCTAAGCGTCATTGCAGTAAAAGTATATCCGAAAATATTCCTTGCATTTCTGTAAGCTTTTTTAAAGAAGAGGATGCTTTAGCATGAAGCAAGATATCCTTTGGGAATGAAGTTACCTTTAGATGTTAGTGGAGCCTGATGGGACAAGTTTCATCACTTCAGAGTATTATTTATTTCTCCTGAAAAATGATGCCACCAGGTGCTGCACCTGCTCCTTGCATATTGATAAACTGTTGAGTATTGCATGCGCAGTCAGAAATATTACTGTTCGTGGGGAAATGGGAGGAGGCAAGATGTTCAACTGACAGAGTGTAATCGCAGTATCTTCAAAATACAGTGCATTTGTTGTATCAAAAATACAGGTGATCTTTCTGGGCTTCAATTCAAAAGCTTCTTCAAGTAAATTAGTAGGTATTTCTGCTAATATGATTTAAGACAAAAGAACTGTAAAGTTATCCCTACTGGAACTTTGAAATTCATTTCTAATTTGGCAAAAGACCACTTCCCTCTGGTAGGAGATCAAGCCTGGTAAATGAAGATAGCTTATTTTGCATGCACATCTGTGGAGACAGGCAAGCAATTCTTTGGTTCAGGCAGATAAATTGCCAACTTTCATATTACAAAAGAGAGTTTAATGCATAGCAAAACAACTACTGTGGCTATTTGCTGTTGCTAACGTAACAGCAAAAACTGTCTGATAGAAAAGCAGTAAAGAAATATACCATAGAGTGGACAGATGTCCATAGTACATTAAGAAGAAATCTATGTCCTCTTAGATTTAAGGAAGCAACTGCATTCCTATGATTTACTATAATTTATCTGGTTCTTAGCAAATTCTGTCTTAATGATGCTCACAGAATAACAGATGCATATGTATTCTTTTTCATGCTTTAAGAGTCCATTTAACTTTTGAATGAAGGAAAGAGCACTTAGATGAGCAGTCACTGATGACAGACTATTGTTAAAAAGCCATCATATATTCAGATCCATCTGGTGCTATCCTGGGAGCAATGTGTTACGAACTAATAAAATTACTGTAGAGGTAGGGAAACCAGCAAAGATAATTTAAAAAGAACAGCCATTTGTTTTATTGACAGAAGCATTCCACTGGTCTATATCATGCAGATCACTTTTTAAAATATCATTTTGGCAAAAAATCCTCATTTAAAAATGTCTCAGTCATATCCAGATTCATATTAGTAATTGTTTCAATTTTCTATAAATAATTATTACATTAAAATATCTGTTACACAATGCTTAAGACATGTCTGAAATGTGAACATAAGCCTGAAATATGTTTTCACATTTCTGAAATAAGCCAGTAATAAATGTTATATAAATATGGAGTTAGTCATATTATTAGGACAGTGAGTACATGAAAAATATTCTGATTGGTTTTCATAATTTATCTACTCTATCACAGTATGTTAGAGATTGGAAGGGACCTCAAAAGATCATCTAGTCCAATCCCCCTGCCAGAGCAGGAGCACCTAGATAAGGTCACACAGGAACGTGTCCAGGCAGGTTTTGAATGTCTCCAGAGAAGGAGACTCCTCAACCTCTCTGGGCAGCCTGTTCCAGTGTCCTGTCACCCTCACTGAGAAGAAGTTTCTTCTCAAGTTTAAGTGGAACCTCTTGTGTTCCAGTCTGTACCCAAGTGAGTCCTGGCCTTGGGATGGCCGCTGTAGTCAGGAATCCTGTCAGCAGGGAGGGCTGCCGGGGAGGTTCTGCAGCCTCTGCTTTTGCCGGTGTGCAACAAAGCGAGTGGTTTTTTTATACTCTATCATCTATTAAATACTACATAAACGTGTAATACTTATGTAGCCCCTTCAACTTAAGCACAGCTGAATGGCTACACTCAAAGAGTTGCGGTGAATGGCTCCATGTCCAAGTGGATTCCAGTAGCAAGTGCTACTCTTCAAGCTTGAGAGCTGGGCTTGTTCAGCCTGGACAACAGAAGGCTCTGGGGAGACCTTAGAGCTGCTCCAAATGCCTAAAGGGGTCAACAAGAAAACTGAAGAGGGGCTGTTGATAAGGGCCTGTAGGGATAGCACAAGGTGGAATGACCTTAAACTGACAGAGGGAAAATTAAGATGAGATATTGGGAAGAAGTTCTTCTGGGGAGTTGAATGGTGGTGGATGGTGAAACAGTGGAAGAGGTTGCCAAGAGATGTCTGTTCAAGGCCATGCTGGACGGGGCTTTGAGAAACCTGTCTAGCGGAAGGTGTCCCTGCCCACGGCAGAGGGGTGGAACTGGATGATCTTTAAGGTCCCTTTCAGCCAAAACCATTCTATGATAAGTCTATCTAATGGCTCTTCAAGACTGTTTTTAGCTCCAGGTTTTCAGTCATAACTGCTTACTCTTCTCACTAAGGAAACTGATCATGGAGGAATAACAGCAAAATGTGAATCTAGCTGTGTAAAGCTTTGTTTTCATTGCATCTGTTTGAATGGCTTATATTTAATTGATGAATCTCAGTGTTTGTCCCTGAATGACTTTCAGTTCCCCAGTGTCTCAATCAGCACAGTGCAGGCACACAAACCACAGGTGGGCTTCCTCACACTATTATGCTGACATAGCTTTGCTCTTCATCTCAGATGACCACCTGAGACGAATGTAACATATATTTTTATCTGGGAGTGTATGCAGTCTTTGGCATTTTCTTAGGCAGACCATTGGTTTCCTCTGTATGCACCACATACAATTCAAACAGCAAAAGTTCAAAGTGTAATTTTTATTTATTTAGTTGGGGGTTTTCTTGCACTGATTAAGGACAGGTTCATCCCTGAGCTCTAAGAATAAGAAGCTCTAAACATGGAATATGTAAGGTAAAAGTGAAAGGGTATGGGTGTTAGCTACCAAGACATATGGCTGGTAAAAAATAAGTAAGAATGCATTAACACATTTAATATGTAACTACTCTTTTTTTAAAGACGGTCTTATTATACAAGGGCATTTGTGTTAGTTTCTGAGACACACATGGCTGGTAAAAAAGGATTAAAATAAATGCATTAACAGGTTTTGTATGCAATTTCACTCTTTAAAAGGGTCTGATACATGGTATCTTTCCTTTATTCTTTACAGAGCAGTGATCAGAGGGAAAAGAGATTCATTAATACACTTATTAGCACTCACAGGCAGAGAATGTAATCATTACTGTCATGGCTCAGGTGTTTTGTGAATGCAACTGTAGGATCAAATCATACCACACTAATGTAAACTGCAATGAAACTCTACCAGATTTTCCTATTATTCGAGTGTTTAAACTGTTTTGTCATAGATATATAGATCCATGAAGGACACTGACTATAGTCACTGACTTTCATTATCATCATCTTCCCTTTTTTTAATAAAAATCAATAATCAAGCTGTCATAGTCTGTTTTCTGCAGATACATTCCAATTCTGGTGGATTGGACTGATACATGTCAGGGATGTAAAATATAAAAAGACATTTGACAGAAGTATTAATTACTTTGGATTTTCTAGTAGAGACTCAGATAATGATACTGTTTCTAAAAAGGGGGATAAAATACTACATCATTATTAGTTTACAAAGAAAAAATTCTGTAGACAGAATATCTGATAAAAAAAAAGCCTTTGACTGACTTCAGAGGGAAATCTCACTCTGAATTTTGTGCTTAGAAAGGTATTAAGTATCTTGCCTTAGTATACTTTGTGTTGGTTTCTGTACTTGCTATTTAAATAAATGTTATTTAATGCAATAATAAATTAATAAATGGAATCACAATATTTATTATTATGTGATCTATGTATGAACATTCTACAATAAAACTTGAAGAAAAGCAATTAAAAAAAAGATACATAAAAAGGGACACCACTATTTGGAGTTGAAAATACATTTATATCTTAATCTGACAAAAACTGAGTTTAGAGCCACAGCTCTTCTGTTTAGGAAGGTAGGCTTGTCCTGCAAATCAAACCTTATCCTCAAGCATGCTGCTTCTTTTCATATTTAAGCTGGTCCAACTACAAGGGTGTCGCTAGAAGGGAAGCTTCCTCTGCACCAATTCAGGCCCAGGGAGGTTTCTCTGGATACAAGATCAAACCACTGTGCAATTGTACAGCAAGTTAGATCAGCTCTCTGATCTGTCACTACTACTATTTTTAGTGTGGTAGCTTTCTAGTGGATAGGCAAGCTGAACCAACTATCCTTTGCGATCATATATTTGTTAGATCCAAGACAGAAGATGGGATCTTTCCTGGCAGAAAAGGTCTGTTCCATGATAAAAATGTCTTTTGCACTAGTCTGATTTTTCATTCTCAGCCCAAAATTCCAGACACTCTTGGTGGTAGTTCAGATCAGAATTGGTGCTAAACTTACTTCCAGTGTTTTAAAAAGTAACTTGGTATAGTGTGAAAACTCATATCAAAGTGCCTGAGCACCCTTGAAGTTTGAACAACCTCATTTACACATCTTGTTCTGACAGAATTATATATTACCATTCCGTCCTGCAGGGAGAAAACAGATCACAACTTTGTCACTTGTGTATATAAAATTAGCATACCAAAGGTTTACTCACAATATGAAAACAGTCGGAGTTTTTAGACCCTTTCGTTGAATGCAAAGTGTCTTAATAAATGGTTACCTGTACCCAGTCATTTACATGGCAGTAAATCCATAGCTTAAAATTCGTGAGGTACAACACCGTGTGCTGTCTTGAGTGACTACATTGGCATGTGTTATGTAAAACTTGTCAGATCTGAAAATTCTGAATTCCCCTTAGTGTCAAAGAAAAATTCAGACACAGAATGATAGAGAGCTGCAGAAATTCAGAATTAGTCATTTTTCATCACTACTAACTGGAGATCTGAACTGGAAGAAATCTGTACTGAGCTGAAGCAAAATTTAATGCAACTTAGAAAGGCTTAAAGGAACATAATTTTTTGCAAGTTTTTAATAGGAAGTATCTAAAAATGTAGCTGAAAGGACACAAATATATGTGTCCTTTCCAAGTCAGGTCATAGTATTTTCTATCATACTTCTGTCTGGGATCGACAGCAGATACAAGCTAGTAAGAGGAAGCATACACCACATTCCCCACTTATATGTTCCTACTTATCAGGCCTATCTGGTTCTGTAACTTCCTGCAGTGGCAGCCATTTCTACATGTTCTTCCCCCTTCCTCAGTGTGCACACTTAGAGGCTCTCCTTGTAGAATTTCGTTCATCCAGAAGTTAATTTCTCTAAGCAATTTTTCTAAATTACTTTCAACTTTGTATTGTAACGGTTCAAAATGAATCCAAATGTGATTGACTTCTTCATTTGTAATCCTACTGGGCTTTTCTTCTTCCAAATGAAATAACACCCCAAAGGAATGTGGTTTAGGATTTGTTTTATGAAAGCCTGAAAGCAAAATTGCACAGAAAGTTCATTCAATCATGTAAGACTGAAAATTTAAGCATAAAAGTGACAGCTGTGTTCTTGAAATCCTCAACACCAACACAGTATAAAGAGAGAAAGAGTGCTTAAACTAGGAACCATTTTTCCTGCAAAATTTGGTTGCCCGAGGCAATTTTGTCTTCTGCAACTCAAAGTAGCCTCAAGATGTCTGCACCCAGTATTTCCTCTTAGGAACTTAGAGGATCATTATGCACCTGGAAGTCCATGGGTCATATTAACCACACACCCTATTAGTCCCTGTCTGGTTTCATTTGGGGGCTTATTTCTCCCCACAACACAAGTCTGACTTGCCCTGGAAAAGCAGGTTATCATTGTATTGCCCCTGTTCCTCAGAGAATATTAGCAGAGGGGAGACGAGTGGAGATGGAGAATTAAGCACTATAGGCCAGAAGCACACAATAAAAGTGACCCAACAGCACAATGGTTATAGCATTGAACTGGAGAGGAATATAGACACACATTCCACACCCTGTGCACTGAATACTTAATGCAAGATATAAAACATTCAGTGTGGTAAGGATAGAAGTGTATAGGGTTTCTTTAATCCTGTTGAGGCTTAGAGTTGGGGTAAGAACTGATCAGCTCAAGGCTGTGAAAACTAAAGTACTTCCTAGCATGTACAGAAGGAAAACTTCATATAAGAAATCCTAGACAGTCAATTAAATCATTAATATTAATTAGGGTTATACAAGGGAGACCTACATGTTTGGGTAATGTAGAATTAAGGCCATGAAAACCTTGATATCACTTGATATCACTGATTGGCAGTCCCCAGAAACTGCAGGTCAATGCTACAAGCAAAACTGCCTGCACACTGCCCAGGCAGGAGCAAAAAAATGCTAACACAGAAGCACTGCAGAAGATGAGAAAGATGGGAAACATTGTAAGAAATCGTTCGAAAACACAGTGGTAAGATATAGTAAGAGCACCAACTCTGTAACACAAAACACTCGATATCAGCCTGTGGGTTGGGAAGTAACAGTTACATTCACAGAGGTACAGCAGTAAAGAAAAAAATGCCTAAGAGCAATGCCTGAAACTTGCCATCAAACAGATCTTGAGAGGGGACTAACAAATGGTCTGCATTTATTTAGTATCTCAGAAGTAGTCTAGAGAAATTTCAAGCTCACAGATGCAGTGCCATTTCCAACATCATCTGTCAGGGAAAATTCTTGATCTCAAAACAGCTTTAGTTTCAACCAATGATCACCACAATAAGGCTCCAGCATACTAAATATATGCTTTCCCCAAGCAATTAATCATTATGGAAGATTCTGATAGCTCCTTCTGGACAAAGACTGTGATGATATTTAAATGATATTGATGTTGCAAAAACAAAAGATTAAAGACCTTACAACCAGATACAATGTATTATATTACCGAGGATTAGATATATACATGAAAGCTGTACTTCGCTTTTACTGTTCTTAACAATAACTCCATACAAAAAATGTATCCCCAGAATACAAGACATATTGGTGAATTTTTAACAAGGTTGTTTTTATCTTAAACCTTTGGCCTGCCTTCTTCAGAAGTGGTACAATATCTGTTAACCCATCAGCACCTCCTAACAATTTCTGAGTATACTGACATATTTTAGACTAAAATATCAAAGAGTTAAGACTCAAAGACACTAAATTTCTGAAAGTTTCTTGAAAACTGGAGGCTGCATAGAGGAAGCACAGGAAAATTGAAATACCCAAATCAGGGTAAGACTGTAATGTATACTCAATAGTAATCTGTGCTGTTATATCTGCTCTCTTACTAACGGTCTTACTAATTGCCTGCACAGTTATTGGACTCAGCTTGGAACCAGTTGGACTACATAGCACCTCGTGCAGTCAGTTCATATGGAGCAAACGTTATCAGGGAAATAAGGGCATGGGAAAAGCTGATGCCTCTTTGCTGAAGAGAGGAAACAGCATAAGCTACAACTTGTAATTAGCCAACTTTCATGATTTCATATTAATTTCCTATTACTTCATTATTTTCATCATGCTTTTATCCTGCATTAACTAATAGCAAGTATGTTAAAAAGGTGAAGAAACTTTAAACTAAACTGACCTTATTCCAATTAAAATAACGTTTTTATTAATGCACAGACTTAAGGGAAAAACCTGCATTTTAAATGTAAAAATCTGCTAAACTGTCATAAAGAGAACTCCAGTAGTAACAATATCTTTAAGGAACACATAGTGCTCTACCTATAGATTCAATTTCCATTTGGATGAGAGTGGTTTATCACATGTATTCTTAACAATGTAGTATAGCAAGATGTTTATTTCACAAGAGCAGTTTCAGAATTAGAAGGCTGTATAAGAATTTGCAGAAGTGGTCTTCGTTTGTTATGACACTTGCAGCAAACTGTATCTTGGAAACATCAGGTACTCAGAGCATTTCATGTGGGTTATCTCTCACTGAAGTATAACTTAGTTATAAGTGCTTTTTATATCTGGAAATACTGACCAACAGATCAACACATTTCTCTTGCAAACAGTACTGAGTTCTTACTGTTCTTGCTAATATGTCCAAATACTTGCACTGAAAATGCTCCACTAACTTCATACTTGGCCAAATTTTCCCTTTGCCTAGTCTAATCCTGAGATCTCAACTGCATTCTCTTAACTGAGAAGGCTGATTGTTTTGCTTTATGTTTGTTATTTAAGTCAAGTAGTATCCTAAAGAAATATTTAAGACATTGCTTTCAAAATAGTAGTCTCTGCTTACCTCAGTTTCCTTTAGTTACTCTGTACACCAGGATAGCTGGAATGATACCGGATAGTGTTATCCATGCTCTTTCCTGTGTTTATTGAGCTTTTGAGGAATTATCATTTCATTAAACTACTTGAGGAATTAACACTTTCCTTAAATGAATAGGATAAATGAAGTTATGCATATAATTTAGATCTTTTTCTCCTAATATACTTCCAAAGCCTCTCTGGAGTGGCATACAAATATATCTTTTGAGTTTTTAGTTGAAGAATGGAATTGTCTGGCTCTTCTTACCATCCATAAAATAACAGAATGCCTTCCTTTGGAAAACAAACAACAAAAACCCAATTAAAACCCCAAAGACCTGCAACTTAGTTTGCACAAAAACAGTATTAAGAGGTTGGAGCTTTGGCATTTCATCAGTGAATGACATACTTAAATGTGAAATGAAAACCACTTCTTAAAAAGTACACTGAATTAAAATAATCTGTCAAAAGAACTGTCTATTGTCCTAGGAGGATGTGAAATAGGAATTTGTACTCTTGCTATAGTAAGTTCAGTCTTAATTTTTGAATTCTGAGTTACAGAATTTTGGCATTATTTGTCAAAATTTGTTGCTGGCAATATGACAAGAAATTAAAACACATAAACAAAAGAGGAGAGGCAAAGTAATACAATCTAACAGTGAAATAGCAGCAAGGTAACTGTAGTCACATCAATTCTAACACCAATTTCTACTCACAGATGTAGTGTTCTAGATTCTGTGGTACAAGCCTTACACCTACCACCTTTGCTAGCTAGAGAGATCATTTTTCTCTTCTGAAGACAGAAGAGAAGGAAGGCTGGTCTAGTAGTGACCATGCTGGCCAGACTTCCAGGAGGATGGGGTTCATATACTGAAAAAGTATATTTAACTTCTTTGAAAAAAGTCATTAATGTCTGTGTCTCTTTTCACTAGCTACAAGTTGTGAACTAAAAAACATCTAATAATGCATCTTTGGGAACTGTATAACGTTGTCTTTCATAAGAAAAGTTTGGTTCCAAATTAAATATGCATCCAAACATCAAATCTAATCCCAGTTACAGATCGAATCTTCGAGGAGATTATTAACATGCATATGATATTGTTATAGTAATATTTTTGAGTATAAATAAAAGCAATAATACCATGCATGCTAAAATCGTGAAAGTAGTTTAAAAAACAAACAAACAAAAAAACAACCAAAAAAACCCCAAACAATTGAAAGGCATTATAATGTTTCTACAGCTGTCCTTCTGCCTCTACACAGGATGCTCAGGACCATACTATCAGAGTCAAAAGTCAATAGGTCATCTA